CAGTGTATGCTTTAGATCCAGGTCTATTGGGGGGGTTTTATGGCACAAAGGTGCCAATTTTGTTTCCATGAACACCCCATGCACCATGGAGGCCATCTTTTATGGATTTTTGGGCCAAAGACCCCTTGCATGTGTACCAAGTTTGGAACTTTACGTATGAAATGGACATTAGGGGGCCAGATCTATGGTTTTGAGGTGTTAAGACCCGTTGAAATCGACTGTATAGTATTGCTCAAGGATGGACTCGACGATTTGTTCTTGGGACTCGTCGAGTCGAGGTGTATTGACCACCAAATCCTTTCTGTGGATGGACCAGTTGTTAGGGAGGAAGTCCCGTGGATGTTTAGACACGAAAAGGGACCTGGGAATCATGGGACTCGACGTGGGTATGAACAGACTCGGCGAGTCCAAGGCAATCTCCCAATCTTTGAAGATGAACTCGACGAGTTGTTCATACAACTCGGCGAGTCGTAGACCGGACACATTCTTATGAGGGAGATGAACTCGTCGAATTCAAGGAGGAACTCGACGAGTCGGATGAAGATGGTCCCGATGTTTTGAATAAAGGAGAACCCGTCGAGTTCTTGCTAGACCCGACGAGTGGAGTCGGGGTTGGATCGGGTTAGTGGAGTATGGACTCGACGAGTTGGTAGACCAACTCGGCGAGTTAGTTCAACTGGGTGTTGACTTTGACCAATGTTGACCTTGCTTGGTTTTAGTATTGACCCAGGTTAGGGTTGTTTGTTCTGTTTGATGACTTGAGGGGTCGAGGAGAGCCGACCCTCATGCCGAGGACAGTTTAGACACTACATGACATCGAGGTGAGTTACCTTCCAGTAGGAGTGGGTCTAAGGCACCAAGGCCGGCCCACTAGTGATTGTTAGTTGGGATGATTATCTTTGTGGTAATTGTCTAGTCTGTTATTGTTGGATATGTGAGTATGCTAGATTGCTTGGTATGGAAGTATGCTAGTTGCTTTGTTATGTGAGATAGTATCAGTAGGAGGGGACTAGTCCCCGATTCGATCGTTAGGACCACTAGGTAGGTCGGACACCCCAGATATGTCTGACAGCATGATTGTGATATGGTATTATGTGTTAGCAGTAGGGGGTGAAATAGTCCCCGTGTTCGGTTGATATAGACCGGAGGGTAGGTCAGCACCCCATAATGGCTTGACATAGGTCGGTCAACACCCCAGAATGGCTTGACATGGGTAGGTCAGCACCCCAGAATGGCTTGACATGGGTAGGTCAACACCCCAGAATGGCCTGACATGGGTAGGACGGGCGCCCCAGAATTGCCCGGCAGTATGTATGTTATGTGGTTGTATGGTATGTGGTATGATGGGGGAACTCACTAAGCTTTGTGCTTATAGTTTCAGTTTTGGTTTTAGGTACCTCTTCGTTTAAGGGGAAGGAGCCGGCGGTGTAGCAGCGCGTCATACACACACCTATGATTTTCGCTTAGAGTTTTCTAGGATTGTACTCTGATATTTGCTACTTCAGATGTTTTGGTTTGAGACTTGATATTATGGTTTCTATGTATTGACATGATTTTGGCAATGATTTGATAAACTATTTTATAAATCACTTAATTAAGATGAAATTTTTGGCCTCGAATTTTGTGATGTTACACCTGTTGTTTGTCCTTTGGCCCCGCCTCATAGTGTAAGGCTTTGGCTGGCTTTTAGGTGCGGTCCCTAGCTGGTTTGCTTCATTGGAATGTCCTTTTTTTAGCTAAAGGGCTTTGTTTTGGGGCCTTTTTCTATGCCATGGTCAAGGATAGTTGCACTCTGGCCTCTGTTATTTGAACCAGACCGAGATCGTCACCACGAAGTCTGGGAGTTTATATGTTTCGAGGGAAAGGTTATGATCCTGTAAAGCCTCTTGTTTTTCATGGTCAGGAGTTGCGGCTCTACTGACCTTATTGACATGTTTGTGAGGGGGAAATTATGAGCCCTTGAGGCCTACAACTATGTTTTCCTCCATGATTTTATTATTATGCGGTACGTGTGATCAGCCCGTTTTTGTTTGTCTTTTGTACGTAAGTATATTGATACTTGTTCGTTCTAAATTTTCATTGCATAATTATTTTGTAAGATGTCTTGGAGACACCTACATCATTTAAGTGGGTATCTGTTTTTCGATAGCTGATGCTATTCTACTTCTAGGTCTTTTACTTGCTAGTTGGGGTGTGATTAGCCTGTGGGATTTTGATCACATAACCCCTTCTCCTAATTCCTTCCAAGCTATGACCATAGGATTGGGCCCTGGGGCTCCCAGGTCATTGGGATGAGTTCTTCTTCTTCTTGGTTCTTCTTGCTTTGTGCCTTTCCTGTGCTTACAATTTCTCTAATGTTTGCATTCACGTGACTGGCTAGTTCTGGGACAATCGTCCTTCAGAAGACGATTTTCAATCTCTTCCATTCTCGAGTGTCGGTTGCTTGGTTAGTATCTTTGGTATTGCTACCACACCCTTCCCCCCGAGCTACATGCCCGGGGTTTGTGCTCATTCTTTTTATCAGGGGTGTGGGCATCTTTCCTCTCGTCTTTGACCATTTTGGGTGGAAGTATCATGGTCCGAATTCTTTTTGGGATGCGTGCGGTGGCCCACGCTGCGATTTCTCGAATTGGCCTTGCTCGTATGTTAATGGTTGTGACCGTTGTTGAACCTTTGGTTGTTCTAAACTTGACCATGCCATGTATTGTCGATGGGATAGTGGTGGCTGAACCACCTGGGAGAGAGTCTAGTGGTTGTGACCGTTGTGACCGTTGTTGACCGTTGTGACCGTTGTTGAACCTTTGGCCTTGCTCGTGTGTTAATGGTTGTGACCGTTGTGACCGTTGTTGAACCTTTGGTTGTTCTAACCCGGCCGGAGTATAGTATGGCGGCTGAGCCAAGGGGAAGTCTAGTGGTGGCTGAACCACCTGGGAGAGAGTCCTCCTTCATGGAGGAGGTACTGTTCATTATATAGGGGACAATTAGGTCAGGGGGAATTAGGTCAGGCCTTGGGCCAGCCTAATTCAGGCCCAACTAGCAAGGAGCTGGGCAAGGCCGCCCGGAGGCGCCGGGCGAGGCTGGCGGGCGCGCCCCAGGCAGGGCTGGCGGGCGCTCACCAGGAGAGGATGGCAAGGGAGTGCCAGGCGAGGGAGCGCCTGGCCGAGCCGGCAGGAGAGTCCCCAGCAGGGCTGGCAAGGGAGTCCCCAGCAAGGGCTGGCAAGGGAGAGCCAGGCCGGGCTGGCGGGAGAGTCCCCAGCAAGGCTGGCAAGGGAGTCCCCAGTAAGGGCTAGCAAGGGAACGCCAGGTAGGGCTGGCAGGAGCGCGCCAGGCCAGGCTGGCGCGCTAGAGCAGTCTAGGCCATGCCAGTGGACCATATCTCATCAAGTCCCCCAGTCTGGTGTTATTGGTACGCGGCCAATGACATCGGACTGGACTTAGTCGGATAAACCAACAGGAGAGTCCCCAGCGAGGCTGGCAAGGGAGTCCCCGACAAGGTTAGCAGGAGCGCGCCAGGCCAGGCTGGCGTGATAAAGCAGTCTGGGCCATGCTAATGGACCATATATCATCAAGTCCCCCCAGTCTGGTGTTATTGGTGTGCGACCAATGACATCGGACTGGACTTAGTCAAATAAACTATGCGTCGTCAAGTCCCCCTAGTCTGATGCAGTTGGGTTGCTGACAATCAGATCGGACTAGATAAAGCACCAAAGCATTTAAATAATAAAGAGAAATGACCGAACCTCGCCCACGAGAGCCGTGGGGTTGTGCGATGAGCCAAACACTGCTTGAGCTGACTTGATACTCCTTCATTGAGAGGAGTGCGAGCCGGTCGGTGAGATGCAACGTAACTGTTGCTGCGATCATGCGGACCGAGGCTGCTAAAGAGTGTTACGCGACACTGATGTCGGTGGGATATCGGACCGGGGTAGCTAAGAAGCGTAAGCTTGCCATTCAGTCCCTGAGACTGTTATCCGACGTGATTGTTGTGGTAGCCATGCGAGATGGGATGTCACCAGTAACCATCTACATAGTCTGCATTAATAACCATCTTGAGGATCTTTCTTGCTCGGGCTACACCTAGCTGGATTGCGGCGTACCAACCTTATTCCCCCCCCCCTTTCTTAGAGGAGGCGAGGAATAGATTCCGAGAGCTGGGCGACTAGGTTGCTAGCGAGGGTCACGTAGTAAGACTATTGTCGATAGCCAGACAATAGAATTGTTGAGGGATAGGCAGTGAGGCTATAGGTTGGGGTTGCATAGCAAGACTGTTTCCGAGAGCCAGGAAACAGAGATGTTGTGGGGTACGCGGTGAGGCTACAGGTAAGGTTGCACAGCGAGACCATTTCCGAGAGCCAGGAAACAGAGATGTTGTGGGGTACGCGGCTAGGCTACAGGTCGGGTTACGCAGCAAGACCGTTTCCGAGAGCCAGGAAACAGAGATGCTGTTGGGTACGCGGCTAGGCTACAGGTCGAGTTACGCAGCAAGACCGTTTCCAAGAGCCAGGAAACAGAGGTGCTATGGGGTCGTAGGTAGTAGGGCCGCTATGGGGATGACCTTCTTGCTGGAGAGTATCCTCACTATAGCAGGTTGTAATGTGGATAGCACTTCATCGATCGTCCGAGCACAAGAGAATCATGATGACTATGAGAGAGGAAACACCAAGATCATGGTGTGGAATAAGCTTGTGATGCGCGACTTATGGTGCGCGACGATGCGCGACTTATGTTGCGCAACTTAGGAGAATAGCTTGGGCTTAGCAGCCAATGATCATGGAGATGTTATGCGGGAGAGCATCGCGCGGAATGGATCGGGCTTGGCTGCTAGTGATCGTAGATAGATCACGCGGGAGAGCATCGCGTGGAATGGATTGGGCTTGGCTTCCAGCGATCGTAGATAAGTCACGCGGAAGAGCGTCGCATGGAATGGATCGGGCTTGGCTGCCGACGATCGTAGATAAATCACGCGGAAGAGCATCGCGTGGAATGGTCGGGGCATGTTGCTATACTGGAGTCGGGCTGAGAAGCCAGACGACTCGGGGCAAGGGTACTGAACCTCGCATGCGGAGCTTGTCGCTATAATGGAGTCGGGCTGAGAAGCCAGGCGACTCGAGGCGAGGGTACTGGACCTCGCATGCGGAGCTTGCCGCTATAATGGAGTCGGGCTGAGAAGCCAGGCGACTCGAGGCGAGGGTACTGAACCTCGCAAGTGGAGCTTGCCGCTGTAATGGACCCAGGCTGGGAAGCCAATCGAGTCAAGGCGAGGGTGCTGAACCTCGCATGCGGAACTTCCCCCTATAATGGAGTCGGGCTGGGAAGCCAGACGACTCGAGGCGAGGGTACTAAACCTCGCATGCGGAGCTTGCCCCTATAATGGAGTCGGGCTGGGAAGCCAGACGACTCAAGGCGAGGGTACTGAACCTCGCATGATTGGGTGTAGCACCCTACAATTTATGTGTCTAGCCCGTGTGACAAGTCTGGGTTAAAGCGGAATGGTACCTGATGCTTTGCTGCATCGCTAGTCGTACTAATAGCTGAGGGTTGATAGTGTAGCTACTGCTAAGAGAGCTATGTGGCAGTGCTACTTAGATCTTGATAGTGTAGCTACTGTTAAGAGGTGCGTAACGAGGCTGCTGTCAGGAACTGGTCAGCAGGGCCGCTAAGGTCCAGGGAGCGAGCTGCTAGCGATAGGTGGGCAGCGCGACATTTGGGATGTCATTGTCCATTCATAAGTATCTATGTGTTCGTCGGGATCTGTTGTTCCGTTGTATTTTGGGATATTTGGGATAATGGCGGAATGTGGTATTTCGTATTGCACAAGCTCCTGGCAAAATACGGAGCTAATGCTTGGTACCGAGTCGTACATGTGTGGATATGCAGGTGCTCCCTTGGCCATTGTGTGCTGCATGTGATAGGGGTTGGCGTACCCTTGACCATATTTGCAATGGTATCCGTGGTTGCACCCTGGCGTTTGTGGCACGTACACCGCATGTGTGGGGTATGCATGCACCAACTGATTTGACTGTGAGCTCGACTCCATTGGTCCCATTGTGTGTGAGTGCGTTCCCTGCACCGGTGTGCCTTGACTATTGTTGTTTTGCAACTGTGTTGGGGGGTACATGCCTTGGTAGTAATAGGAGTATGGTTTAAACCTTGGTTGTTGTGCGAATAGCGGGACACGCGACATGGCGGCCATTGGGGAAGACGGGTGACCTGCACACATTGGTTGTATAGAAGATGTGATGGTGCTCAGGCACCAGGTAGATGGTTGCTGGTGAGTTGATGGTTGTGATTGTGTGGTCGGTTCCCTTTGGGGCATCATGGTGGTCGTCATGGTCGGATGTGTCGTTGCGGTGGGCGTTGGTCGCCATAAACTACCGATGAACTCCGTCGCGGAGACGACTGGCGGCGTTGTCATAGTTTATGCTAGCGGTTGTCCTTCAACTGTCGACGGACCGCTCCCGTCGAGGGACTGCATTGGTCGAACTGGGCTAGCGGTGTCACCTATTTTCCGTTGTGGTCTTGTGTCCGTCATTTCCGGTGCCTGGTGTTGTTGAGTGGGTTTTCCAGGACTAAATGAAAGCCCGGATGGCGCCAACTGTTGTGATATGTCACCAGCTTGACTCCATATATCTGAGGGCGAGAATGAAGAGCATATGGATCACAACAAAGAAGATGAGATCGTCAGTTGTCGTCCAGGAGGTTGTCCCAGAACGAGGCTCCGACGATCAAGTCAGTGAGGGTCTGAGAGAGAGGGTTAAAAGTGTAAAGAGAGTGTTGAAGGGTTAGAGATGTTGACCCCTTCTCTTGGGGGAGAAGGGGGGGTTTATACCTGTGGATAGGGGGAACAGATCCCCGACAATATCTTCCACCTTTTCAGGTTTGGCAGGGGCTGATGACTTTTGATTGGAGGATCGTGTTCCATGAGTGGTTGTTCGCTATTGGTGCAGACTCTGCCAGAAGCGGCGTCCAGAGAACTACACATGTCGCTCTGGGGAACTCTTGGTAATGTTTTGTCCTCAACGTTATCCTTGGCGCTTGGGCGCCAAGGAACGGATACGGGGTCTCGAATGTGAGGGCGAAGGCCCGACATTAGTCATACGTTTCTCCTTGGCCGATCCGTCTGTTGACCTAGTGATTCTGTTATCTTTGACGAATTCCCGGTGGGATACGTCAACATATATATATATATATATATATATATATATATATATATATATATATATATATATATATATATATATATATATGGCTAGCAACTCCCTATATCTTGAGGCATCCCAAAAATCAAGTATTTCTATCCAACAGCTCCTAAAAGAACCTGAGGTTATCCACTAGCATGCTTTCCTAACAGTTCACATATTAGCAACATCAAAATTCAGTACATATAACAAGTATGGGTATTTTGGGAAGTACTCTCTTGTTCGGGCTCTAGCTGACTGTACACACTGCATCTTCCTATAAAACCAAAGTTAAGTCAAGGTCCACGTTCCTGATCCCAAGCCAAAAATCAAACAAGAACATGACAAGAGACCGAGCCCATGTCCCTAACCCAACTCTTTTATTATAATTTCTTGTTCAAAAACATTTTTGCAAAAACTCTCGGATCCTAGTTTGAGAATGGATTCACACAAGTCTTACTCTAATTCGCTCAAACCAGGGCTCTGATAACAACTTGAAACATCCCATTTTCACGACCGAATTTTTTTAATTTTATTTAAAGTAAAACTTCCCAGTTATAAAACCATTTTAAGAAAACCATCAGTTCCCAATTACAATTCTTAAAAATCAGAGTATTATAATGAACGCGAAATCCTCAATGTTGTTGATGAGTGTGTACAGTACCGCCTTCGCCTTCCCATAGCCACCGATGATACCTGAAACAATAAACAACTGGGTAAGCATAAATCCTAGTGTGTTTCCCATAAAATACCCCATATGATAAACATACAAGCATGCATAACGGCCCACAACCTCCCAATTGGAATGCCCAGGCCCAATCAGCCCTTGGACTGGAATGCCAACATGCAACGGGTCCAATAAGCTATCGGGCTGGAATACCCAGGGTTTGTTGGCCTATCGCCTCAACCCAACCGATTTTCCCAAGCCTCCATGCATGCGGCTTACAGCCGGCCTACACTGGGTATCTTGGCCTACAGAACAAAGCAGGACCGCCTCAACACACTACTACCATATGTCGACATATAAACAATCAGGATCAAGTAGGCACACAATACATGCAAACAACAATCATACAACTCACTACCGCCTACTATTCCTCTCACAGCACACAATCCCGCTACTAGCTAACCTCCATGAAATGTGTAACCATAAGTATCCAGATGTGAGATAGCCACCCGAACAGATGATCCTACTCTAGAGCCACAACCAAACAAGGAACCGGCAAGAAAGCCTAGATCAAGAGTTCTCAGGCTATCCTACATGACTACATATAGTCCCTAGGACACTCCACTAGATGATAACTAGTAAATATATATAGACACACAGATCTAACAGATCACTACAGCATAACAACGTCCTACAAACTAGGATACAAATCTAACAGATCACTACAACATTGCAACATCCTATATACCAGGATACAGATCTAACAGATCACTACAACATAGCAACAACCTATATACCATGATACAGATCTAACATATCACTACCGCATAGCAACATTCTATATACCAGGATACAGATCTAACAAATCACTACAACATAGTACCATCCTATATACCAGGATACAAATCTAACAGATCACTACAACATTGCAACATCATATATACCAGCATACAGATCTAACAGATCACTACAACATAACACAATCGTATATACAAGGATACAGATCTAACAGATCACTACAGCATAGTAACATCATATATACCAGGATACAAATCTAACAGCTCACTACATGATAGCAACATACTAAGTACCAACAATCTAAGGAATATGTGACTGTATATACTTAGAGGTGAGATAGACACCCGGACAGGTGATCCAACTCTAGATCCACAACCAAACGAGGAACATGTAAGAAAGCCTAGATCAAGTCCTCAGTCTATCCTACATGACTATATACAGTCCCTATGGCATCCTTCTACTAAAAGATAACCAAAACTAGTCGGGCTGCATTGGTGCCTTCGACACACAGGTACAATAAGGCAAAACTCACCTGAAATGAAGAAACCCGAAAAAATGAGTCATGTTTCCCTTTTTGCATTGCGTGCTCCCTCAAATCCACTAATCATAAAAAAAAACTTAAAATCTATAACCAACAGTTCAAAACTCTCAATTTTGACCTAAATTCAAACTTAGTCAAAAGTCAATGGTCAACTAAAGTCAACAAAGTTAAAGTCCATGGCAGCTGCGTACGCCCAACGTACGCAATCAGATCTTATTTCTCCATTAAGTACTTTATCACTTAAGACCTTTTGTCTAGAGCTCAGATCTAGACTCAAAACATTGACTTAAGTCATAAAGTTTCCACCTTTATGACATGGCTAGAAAAGGTCCAAAAGCCAAAACCCTAACTTATCAATCCACTAAGACATCATAACTCTTGCATGGAAGGGATAGAAGGACCAAGATCACATTTTTATGGTTCCTAATGGCTTTATAATGGATAAAGTTTCCAACTTTATCCATTAGAATGGTCCCAACAAACAAGATCTTGTGATTAAGTCTCAAAGGGACCAAAAGTGGATCCTTTTCAACTTAATCCATTAAGTCCAAGTCTCCAACCTTCAGATCTGAATCAATATGATGTTTAGATGGATAAAGTTTCCAACTTTATCCATAACAAGGTCACAAACTTTCAAGATCTAAACTTTGTGCACTTAAAGTAACCAAAAGCTCCTAACACCTAAAACTAGCTAGATCCAACAATTTCATCATCAAGATTCAAACTTTATACCTCCAGAAGAAATATCAAGGTGAACAAGGTCTAGATCTACAAGATCCAATGTAACCAACACTTCTCCAATGATCTCCTTCTTCTCCAAGATGCACCAAGAACACTCCAAAGAACTTAAAAACACCTTATTTTTGCTCACAGGGCTCAAACTAGGGTTAGGGTTTCAAGGGAGGATGTTAAAGGGGTGGAGGATGAGAATGGAATGGGTTTGGGAAAGTTAAGGAGCTTAAATAAGGCTCAAACCACGAAAATAGGGTTTGAGTTCTGATTGCGTATTCCCAACTTACTCCTGGTACGCCCAGCGTACAAGGAATGCCTAGGACGCCCAACGTACGCGGGTAACCCAAAATCGTCCTAACTTCAAACGGTCGTAAATTCTTTGTTCCAACTCCGTTTTCGACATTCTTTATATCCACGGAAAGATGTTGAAGAGCCCCACAAATTATCTAGATATCTTGGACTAAAAAAATCTCAAACAAAAATCCATATTCATGCAAGAACCCGGACTATGACTTTTCCCATTTTACCCTTCGGCCCAAAACACAATTCAAGGGTTAGATCTCTCAACCATCATTACCTCCTTCCACAAGGTCTAATCTTTACCTCATTAAGGCCCAAATCCTTTACACAATCGACTTCCATCCTACGACCCTGAAATAAGAAACGGCGGGCTATAGGATGTTACAGCGAGGGAGTTTCAGTACCTTCGTCAGACTACTTAGACTGTGGTGGAGATCACCGCCATATTCCGTGATAGGGATTTACTGATTCCGCAGTATGTGATGGACGAGGAGATGAAGAAGGTTAGGTACCGTGATATGCTGAAGAATGAGATACGGGAGTTTGTGAGCATGCCCAACTGTAGGATCTTATAGGACATGACAACGAGGGCACGGGAACAGAAGATTGATTTGGAGACTGTGAGGAAGAGGAAGTCGGTTCATGCTCATGTATCAGAGGGCTCAGCGAAGAAGCCCAAGGTTTTAGATTCCCAATCGAGGGGCCAACATGACCGGAGCTATTGTGGCAAGTGCGGAAAGACGTACGAGTGGGTTTGCAGGATGGGTGGTTCAAGCTACTTTAAGTGCGGCAAGACTGGTCCCTACAGCAGGGATTGCACCACCACCAATCCTACCCAGGGATCGAGTCTGGTTTGCTACCATTGCAATCAGAAGGGCCACAAGAAGGTCGATTTCCCGAGTTTGACAGTGGGAGCGGTGGCAGCACCCGCTCCAACGACATTGAGGATCACCGATAGCCTCCAGGGCAAGGCGGAGATGCCAATTGTGAGGAGTCGAGCATTCCAGTTGATATTCAGGGAGGATCGTGCAACACCTGATGTGGCTACAAGTGGGTATCTTATCTCTATCTTATTATTGTTTTATTGTTTATGCTTATGATGTATGTTGTGTTATAGGGACGTTCTTAGTGAACGGTGTTCTAGCCCTTGTCCTTTTTTATTCGGGCACCAACCGATCATTTGTATCTCTTGCTCTTAG